GCCACAGCCTGCAGGCACGTGGCACACAGGCCTCCTTTAGATTCTTTAATAAGGCTTCTCATGAGGGCTCGTTTCTGTGAGAACTCTCTGGGTATGGCCCTCAGGAGATTTTTTTAAAATGATGCTCTCTGTTTCTGCTTCAGGATGCTCTCATATGCTTTGCAGGAGTCTTTTTAGCTCAGGTTAGATTTATGTGATCTGCCCACCTGTGAGGGTGCTCCTGCCCCCCCTCCCCAGCCAGCTCTGGGATTTTTTGTTCCCCACGTGTTCTCACTCCCAGTGAGCAGCTTCCTGCCCTTCCATCTTCTCTGTCATCCCCATGTGATGACAGTTCCCTCCCCTGACAGCAAAGAGCCGCTTCTCCTTGTGCTGCTTTAGTCCTGTCAAAATTACCCCTCCAGCAGACCTCCCTGAAAGCAAAGCCTGGGCAGAAAGCCCCTGGGTGGTAAGGGAAAGGTGTTTCACTTTTCCTGCTTTTCAGACTGGGGGGAGATGTTTTAATTATTCCACTCTAACAGTCCAGCAAGAGTGTCCAAAATTAGAACAACACCAAAAGCCTATCCTTGGAGCAAATAATTTTTATTTTGGCAAGCTGGTAGTGTATTGTTATCATTATCAAGATGATAAGAGAAGGCAGTAGGCTTTTTTTTTTTTTTTCTGCGTGCCCAAAATTGCAGATTTCCATGAGGTTTCTGAAAGGCTGAATGAGCACAAACATATTTCCACAATTAAATGTGTCATATGCAGCAGAGCTAATGCCAGGCCAGGATGCTGACACTGTCAACATGGCATTTGCAGAGCAGACTCACGGCTCACACGGCATTAGTGCCGTCAAAGGATTACAGAAATATGTGACTTCAAACTAATCTACTTCATAAATCATTTAATGTGAATTTTGCAAAAGCCCTCATCAAAATGCCGTCGTATGTGATGTAACATAGTACCGACCTTGCTGGCAAAGACCATTAAATTGTCTCTCTGCACAACTGCTGACGCTCCTACCTGTTGCATGGCCATCCAAAACTTGCGTTGGAGCAACTCCAGCTTAATTTGCACACCCACCGCTGTGGGAAACAAAAAAGAGGGGAGGATGAAGAGAAGAACGTGCAAGAGAGGAAAGACAAGTACAAGCTAGAAAAAGAGGAGTAAACATTTGCCCAAGGTGATGGCATGGAAATCACAATTGCAACCTGCTTCCAAGTGTGAAAGATAAGCATCAGGGTATCAGCACTGAGTCAGACTGCCAAGTGAGAGTCAGAGGTTTAACAAGGGCAAAGAAAAGGGGATGCTGACTGTACTGAGGTACTGAGACCTCCCTCACACTAAGCACTATGAAGCTACAAGCACATTAACAAAAAATAAAAATTCCTCCCAAGACCCCCCCCTCCCCGGATATCATGCCTTTTTCAGATTTGCCTGGCCAGAATGGATGTTTGTGATCACCCTGGCCCCAAGTCCTGCACCACGCAGCACCAATCAGAAATAAAATAGGCCAGTGTGAGGAAGCGATTAATTTGAAAACCCACCTGTCTCAAGGGGGAATCACAGAGATTTAGATTGCTCCTAAGCCACTACAAATGCACAGAATTATGAATGCCAGTTGACAGAAGGTGTGACTAGGAATAGTGATTTGTTACCCGGTCCCAGCCTAGTGCACGGCGGGCTAAGCAGAGTTCCGTGTGTGTGTGTGTGTCTCTTAATGAAGTGTGTCCTAATTTCTTGGCTTAATTTCTCTTCTATTCCCAGCATCATATTCCTGAAGTAAGGCAGGAGAAGGAACAGTGCAGGGTCTCCATAACAGAGCAACCCAGCTGTCCCTGGGTAGGTTGCCTACAAGCACATGTAACAACCAGCGCAGCCGTGCGCAGCCTGGCACGGTGATGGGGAACAACTGGGCTGTGTGTCAGCTAGTTGAATCCTAGAGCTCTGGAGGAATTACAGCCTCGAGCAGGACCTCGAAATAGAATATAAAGTGCAAGTGAGGGAGAAAAAGAAACACGGGGAGGGAGATTCTGAGCCGTTTTTGTCACAACCGCCAATATCAGGCGCTTGAAGTGATGCCGTTTCTGCAGATTTTCTCTGAATTAGAAAGAGCTTCAAAGGGGGGAACAGATCCTTTAAATCTGAATCATGCCATGTGGGTGCTTTTAAACTAACAGTATGAACTGATGCTCTAATTCAGACGGGTATGAATTAAAACTGGAGTATGCAATGGTGTATTTTCTTGACGCACGTAGAGAGACCTTAGCACCTGGCATCAGCTCTACCTTTTATACCAGTGTCCTTGTCACATTCCCACTGCTGGTACATCTTACAAAATCCCACGTATCAGAGGTGCACTTCTTAACCTGCCCCTGCCTGCTGCAAACTGAATCTGACTGCCTGTTCGTGGGGGAAAGGAATGATTTTGTAGAGCTGCATTGCCCTGAGCCTCACAGAGCACAAACCAGACAAGACAAACAGTGCAAACAAAGGAGGAAGGACAGGGCTGAGTCGAGTCTGAGCAAAGATTCATCACCTTCAGTGAGGCTACCGCAGGCATGGTTTGGCTTGGTGCCCCTGCTGACAAATCAGCAGTCCATGACAGAAGGGAAACGGTGCTGTTGCTGCTGAGTCCAATGAGGCCCACGCACCCGATTTGGGATGTAGCTTTAAATAAATTCATTGCCATCCTTCCAAACCATCTCAGGAAAGAGCCGTTCCCCTTATCACGGCAGATCACATCAATGGGGCTGAGCACTACCCAGGACACAGAGTTTTTATGAGACCTGAAGAGGAGTGAGTTACCTACATAACTAACCTTGCAATGCAGAGACTTACTCAGTGGCTCATGTTTTTTGCCAGTGGGAACATTTAGTCTCAAATTGTTCTTCCGAGGGATTTTAGCCCCTGGCTGTGAATCCTTATTTCTGCCCACAAGGTACAAACCAAACCTGGACAGAGTTGCCTGAAACACGAGGAAGAAGAAGATCTGGGGGTTTGCACAGGTGGCCAGGGGCAGGGACAGAAAGCAGAGTCTCCCAGCCCTCTTAATTCCTCTTTGCACATTGCAGGGAACCGTACTGGGGGGATTGCTTCACATTCCTGCCTGGCAGCACCACTCCTTGCCAGTTGGCATGGATTGACAGCTGCTGGCAAGAACCGTGAGAAACTTTCACACATTCAGGTGGCCTGAGGAAGACACGGGAACTGAGGAGAAACAGGCCACAAGCACCGCCCCCCCAGTGCTAGTAACAAATATTTGCCTGGGCATCTTAACGCTGTTGGTGAAGCCAAGGAGAAAGGAGGAAAGCAGCACTTCAGTCTGAGGTAAGGATGATGCTACAGTTCCGGTGAGAGGGAGAAAACTGAAATAAACCCTTATGAGCTTGTTCCACAGTATAACTGATTGTTAATGAGCCTTTCTGCTCTGGTGGCAAAAGTAAGCTGCATCAGCAGGAAGATCTGAAGTCCATGAAATGATGTGTGGCCGCTGCAGAGTCTTCAGAGAGACCACGGCTAATAGTTTTATTCCTAGTAATGTGCAAGTAACCTGTGCAACTGTAACACCCCAGCAGTGAAATAAAACACGAGGACAAGCACTGCTGAACACCTTGCACAAGCAGACATTGCTTCACTGTGTTGTGCACTACTTCCCACCAGCAGGCACCCTGCCTGCAAACCCATGGCTGCAGTGGGCTCTCTCTGGAGTTGTGCACGGAGATAAGAGCCTTCCTCTCCACCTGTTCATCCCTCCATTGAGCATGCCTGTTTCATTAGCTCATCCTCTGCTTGCCTCTCTCTTTGTCTGCATTCTCTGGCTTCTCTCTTTGATTTATCCATATGTTGTTCTCATAAGGAGATTTCCCCAAGATTTAATTCTTGGGCCTGCTGCACAACAAAAAGGCGTAACAAAGAGTCGCAAGATTACATCCTGCAGAGTGCTTATCAAGATTTACCTTGCCATTCACAACCTGTTTTCGTGGCACACAGTCCAATGGTTAAATAAAACCTGTGATTCAAACAGAAGAAGGTACCAGAGCAGCCATGCCCATACTTGTCTGTTTGCATTTTCCATTCTCTGTTTCTGAGATATTCCCATTTTCCCTCTCGAACCAGCAGCTCGAAATCTGACTTTGAGTCCTCTAAAAATTTTACTTAAAAAATAACTTCCAGGCAAATGAAAATGAACAAAAGGCTCAAACCAGCCTGTTTATGACACTGGACCTGACAGAAGAGGCAGTTCAGGAAGATAAACAAAAGAGTCATTTCTGCAAATGTGAGCTACCAAGGTCCTCAGCAAGCCAGAGGGAGGCAAGAGAGGGGTCTGATTTTGTAGGAGCCCATGGGAGAGCACAGAGGGAATCCTGACAGAGGCAGTGGGCTGGATTCAGCTGTTTACTGCACCCCTGCACCAGCAGGCTATGTCAGGGAGGGCAGGGATGCCTCTGTCACTGTGTGGATGTACCCACACCCAACACTTGCACTGGACATACAGCTGAGCACAGTCTCCCTGCTGCACACAAAATTCAGGGGAATGAACAGATTCTTCTTCTCTCTTTCGCCCATTCCCCTTGTCCCAACTATCCCCTACTAGCACTCCTCAAGTTATCCCTGAATCCCCAAGAAAACAGACACAGGGTTGTGCTGCGCCCCAGCAGCTTCTGGGGACACCCACTGTGGCCGGACAGGATGTGGCCAGCCCACCGTGGGCACCTCTCAGTTAAGTCTCTGTGTTGGACTCACTGCCATCCCCCCATCATCTCTGGAGCACTGGTGGAAAGGGGGTGCCCTTCTCCCTGGTTTCTCCTCTGCTGTCTCCCCTTCACTGCCGCCGCTCGCCTCACTCCTGTACAAAAGCCAGGGCTCGTCCCTTCTCATCCTCCTGCCTTTCTCTCCAGGTTTATTGTCATCAGACATAGCAGGCAGGGGGAGAGATGGAGAGAGAGGGGGAGGTATTCAGCTCGGTGCCTTCTCTTGTAACCTGTGCCTGACCAATCTGCCTCCTGAGGGGCTGTGGGGAGCTCCTCCCGCCCTGACATCTCCTCACCCCTCCTCGAGCCCCTCGGCTCCTGGCACCCAGAGAGGGATGGCAGCAAGGGCGGGAGGAGGGGGAGAGAGGGACTGACAGCAACTGCCCTTTCTCCAGGATGGGTTGAGAGCAACAAAAACCTCCCAAGCTCCTTCCTCTGGGTGTTTTGGAGCAGATCCTGCCTGCCTGGCGGGGTGACTCCTCTGCACTGTCTGTGCGCGTTCCTGTGCGTGTGCTGCTGCCATCGCAGATGTACCCCCAGCTGTCACTTCACCGCGCACAGTCGCTCCCTCTCCCGCCTCTCTCTCTCTCTTTCTCTCTCCCCCTGTTTATTATTTACGGAGGATTACAGTCCCTTTCCCACGCTGTCACCTCGCCGTGCGGCTCCTCTGCCCTCCACGCGGGGTGAGCGACTGGCTGGGGGGGGCTCCTGCCAGTGAGGGTCCACCGAGATCCCAGCTGGCAACAGAGGGACTTTCTGCTGGATTTGTTTTGGGATTGTACCGGGTTCGCTGGAAGAGCTGCTATTCTCACAGGAGGGTCCATTCCAGCCTGAGAGAGGTAAGTAAAGACACCTCTCTTTTGCGTTTTTCCCCCCAACCCCAGCTAAGCGAAATCAGCGGAGCTGCCCCCCAGGAACCCGCTTCCCCGGGGAGCAGTGTCAGCAGGGGCAGCGCTGTCTGCCAGACAGCACAGTGCACAAGTCTCGGCTGTGCGAGACTGACGGGCAGCGATCTTCCCGACAAAGCGGAACGGCAAACCTGCTGCAGAGGTGGCTGGGGCTGGTGCCAATCCACTTTCCGTGCTCGCTGCTGGGAGCAACTTCTCCTGGCTGCGGATGGCAGCACCACCACCTTCTCCTGGACCACGGGCAGCTCAGGTGCAGTACTGAGGCTAAGGGCTTGGTGCTGTGGTCACTAGGTGCAGGGCAGCTCCTAGGGAGCCCTGGCTTTTGTCCCCTCCTCGGGGCTGTGAAAGGGGTCAGCATGAGAGGTGCCACTTGCCTGGCCCGTGATGACTTTGCTGGCTATCATTTTGGACTCAGCTGTCTTAGTACGAACAACCCAAAATGGAGAAGTGAGGACCAAAATTGCACAGGTTCAGCACTCAGTACACAGCTTTAGGATGGCGGGGTGTGTGTGTATGTGTCAGTGAGTGGGTGTGTGTGCTCACGGACATGACCACAGGACATGAAGTGAAGGATGCCAAATCACAAGCAGAGCCAAAAATAAGTCCCAAGTTGCTTTCAGCATCTCTGCAGCCTGAGCCCGCAATTTCTGAACTTTTGGGCGGAAGGCAAAGCACTGAGGGGGTTGGGTGAAACACAGCACAGAGAAGCTTCACAGCCTTTTCCAGCCCTGACTGGGAGGAGAGGGCAAGAATGAGGTCCCAAATGAGCTGATGTGAAGCTCCCTATGGATAGAGGTATATATATAAACGTTAAGGTTTGTGTATGGTGTGTGTATGCACACAGACACATGCACAGACACGTGCACACACACATCCCACACAGGGCATTCTGCCCCCTCCTTCTCCCTCTGCTCGACCAGTTTATTGCTGTCCCTGCATCTCATGCTAATTAAGAGAGACGTGTAGAACTGGAGCTCTCCAGATTTGGGGAGAGAGGAATTTTTAAGCTGTTGCTCCAACCAGGTCATGACTGAGCTGGGCCCCAGGCCCACCACGTGGACAGCCAGGTAGCCTGAATGTGCCACATCCAGCGCACCCCTGATGGGAATGGCAGCGAGCAGGGTACAGCACTGCTCTGCTGCTGGTGCCTGACCTGCCACTCAAGCATGGAGAGAGAAATTAAGATCTCATTTGGGAAAGGACTGGAGCAGCTGCTGTTGCAGAGCTTAAAGAAGGAAACCCTTAAAAGACAGGGGAACCCTCAAAGGCACAAAAGCACTTGTCCAAAACAGGGGACATTTCTAGAAGTGAGGGAGCCTTTCCAGAACTGCAGACCATTTTTATTGTGAGCTTTGTCGCTCAGGTCTGTTTGGGGGTGGGAGGGGGTGGATCTTCCTCTAACTGCTGTGGGCAAACAACATTTGCAAGGGAATTATTCCACATGAGCGAAAGGCTTGCGGGAGTTGTCTCCCTGTCAGACATCAGTGCTGCCTCTGTTAGTGCATCTTGCCCACTTGGAGGAATTATGGTAAATCCTGAGCAAAGGGGTTGTTTGCAAAGAGAAAGGGGGGGAAGCCGTCTTACGTAATTTTTATACCAGATCATAGCTTTACCCTTGCCTCCAGCAAAGTGAATGCCACATGCTAGCAAGGTGCACTCCTAGCTTGGATATCTTCATGAGTTACTCCAGCTTCCTGCCCTTCCTCTGGCTTTTTTATAAGCCTGATGCAGAAAGGATTTTCTAGGCTGCTCAGAACCACAGGAGCATGATGAAGGCAAACCCATGTCTCAGTAGAGCTGGGATGGCCAGCAGCAGCACAGGGCCATGAGGATATCTGTAGAGGAGAATTCAGGGAGCAGCAGAGGCTGGAACAGGATGGGGACAGGCTCAAGCCTGTGGGAGGGCATTTCTGGGCAGTTCTTTGGTGAGTCTTCAGCATTTGCCTGTTGCTGATTCAAAAGGCAGACCAGGCAGTCTCCTGCACTTGCCATGTTTGGTTACAAGCAGCTGCTCACACCGCTTGACATCTGTCCCAGTCCTGGGTGGCTCAAGCCATAAATCAAATGACCATACTGGGATGCTCCTGCCAGCTGGGTGATGTTTCAGCGAGCTGAAACACACTGACAGACACTCCAGTTCTCAGTGGAAAAGGGGCTGGAGTGGGAGTTCTGGGATGTTCCCTCCGCAGTGTGGAAATACCTTGTAACACGTACCTTATTCCTGCTGTGGCTTTACCAAAATGCTGGCTCACAAAAAAGCTTTGTGTGACTGAGGATATGATAACAGCAAGAAGATGTGCATTTTTTCTATAAACCAGTTCAATTACAGACTCAAGAGATGTAAGAAAAAGTTGTTTCGCCTTTGAGGGGTGGGACTATGTGAAATATATTATTCACATTGCAAAAAAAAGCAGTTGAAAGTTGGAAAATGTCGGGGTTGGGGGCAGCCTGCCATCTGCACTGGGTTGCAGTCCTGACTGGTTGGATGACATGCTGTATTTTCATGAGCTGATCGTTCAGGGTACTGGCTACATGGTGTTCAAGGAGCAAAGCGGGGGGCTGTTATTTTTTTTGGTACCGCAAAGTATGCACCTGTTTTATTTGTTTACTGCCTGCCATCCAAGCCCTGGAGGCAATACATCATTATTCATTGTCTTGTGGTGTTCTGAAGATGTTAGCTGCTACAGTTGCCTTGTAGCTGATGATAGAGAATTTATGCTCCTCACGAGGCAAGAGAGAGTGGGTATTTTCCCTGCTTTTGAAGGGAAAGGAGACTTCCACTTTAGCCACACAGGGAAGGAGCAGCAGGTGCAGGGCTGGAGCTTGGGGCTTCTTGGCTCTCAGTGCCATTGAGTCCTTGAGACCGGTTTGCTGGCTAAGCTTCCAGCATTTTGAAAAACAGCTGTGAGTGTTCAGCAGCTCTGCAAAATGGTCCCTAGGGTCTTGTGTTGGGCACCCGCAAAATTAGGAATGTACGGACTGTGGCCTCCTGACAAAACTGTGTTTTAATATTCAATTCTGACCCTATAAAAGGGCGGGCAGGTATTATCTCACATTTAAGTGCTTGGCTTTGCAAGCCAAATAACATATTTTATCACATGACAATTTTTTCTTAAAGTAAAATGTTTTCAATGGGAAAACAAGAGACTTTCTGTTACTTTTGCACTGCAGTGCCTCAAACCCATCACAGGAAGGACTGAGACTTAAAATTTACAGCAGGGCCATACAAGTCAGAACCTCCTGACTGACTGCAAGTAAAGGCTGTTACTTTGAATTCAGGCCCTGCTACCACAATCCTCCTCACTTCAAGGAGGCTGGGAAGACTCCTTCCCCATGAACCATGCTCTCACACAAGGAATAAAAAAGTAGGACCACATCCTGAGTCTGGAGAAGAGCTGTTAGAGGTGACTTAACTTGGCACTCATCACTTGGGCTCTCTTTCCACTCCTGGTGAAGCTCTCTACTGCCAGTGCTGCCCAAAGCAGGGCATGGTGCTGCTGTGATTCTGCTGTGAGGCACCTGTGTTGGGACAGAGGGGTTGAGAATGGGCCCTGCTCTTTCCACACCACTTGCATCTAGTGATTTTGATGGGATGTGATCTTTGCCATAACCCTATCTCTTCTGTGGCTGCAAACCCTCCAGAAAATTAAAGTCACATCAAATTTGAAGACCTTCCTCAGCCTCAGCAAGCCCTGCAGCATGAGGCTGTGATCTGTGTGCTAACCCAGATGCATCCAAAGATCCTGGCAGGAACTCTGGATTGTAAGAGCTGTCACCACATCTTGCTGAGCTATGGGCAGTGTTCCCAGCTTGTAAAGAGCGTAACTGTGTCCCAGAGAACTGCAGGCACCCCTGGAGCTGCAGGCAGCAGCTTAGCTCCCATGCAGTTTGTGTGGACTTTGCAGGGTTGCCCCTCTTGGGCGCTCTGGGAAGGTGATGGGGCAGCAGAAGAGCTGCAGGCTCTCTCGAACAGGCAGCACCAACAGCCTCATGCCACAGTGGCAACCAAGCGAGACAGATCTGTGCAACTCACTAAGGCAGAAAGAGGTCTCCTTCAGAGTCCAGCACAAATGCATCGTGTGTGAGCAGTGGGAGTCGGCCTTTCCTCGGCAGGTTTGCCAGGAGCCATGTGTGTGCCAGGTCACTGATCCCTTCCTGATAAGAGCTGAGAGGATTTTTACTGCTGGTATCTTGTGCTCTGGCACAGCAACGTGCACGCATGGATGGAGGATCCCTGGCCCTGTGAACACACACAGGCTTGTGAGATGGTGGGGAAGTTCTTCCCTTGTTGGACCGTGTTTTCTGCCACCTCTCTCTCCTCCTGCCCCAGCTGCTGGAGTGGCAAGACACTGCCCTTGAAGCTGGTGGTCTCATTCCGAGAGCCTGGAAGCCAGGGAAGCACAGCCAAGGTGGTGGGTGAGTGATGGAGAGGGGGCAGCCTGGGCGGCAGCAGTTCTCCATCATGCTGGCATCTCCACAAGAAGGAAGAGTAACAAAAGTCAAGCACTAGGAAGGCCAATGAGCTGGAAGTTCTGGTGTATTTCAGAATACAGGCTATGGAAAAATGCAAAGGCAGTTTTTGGGCTAATGCAGACATGAATGATGGCAAACATGCCAGTGTGGGGGCATTCTGGGTGCAAGAGATCACCCAGGCTTGCAGAATCTCACCTCATTTTAGGAATGAGAAGACACAAGGAGAAAGGTTTATGGCCGAAGAGCCTTGGTCCCCATAAGATATAACAAGGGTTTCTTGGTGTTGATTTGGAAGCCCCTGGATTTGACAGTCTGGCCATGTTGTTCAGGTTAGACTTCTAGCCTAGCACTCCAGGGACAGAACTGTGAACTGAGAGCTTGTATTGATTAAAACCCTTATATTTTCCTATCTTGCTGCTAAATTGATGCAGCTGTATCTACTACTCTGTGCATGTAAA